TCACCAGGGACTAGAGGCCCCTTTCTACATTCAGTGGTCACCATTACTAGCCACGTCTTTGCTGCACTTTATACAAAGGCCGATGGACCCGATCACGCACTTACCTGGAACCTCAAACTCCACGTCTGGTTTCTCATCCATCTTCAGCCTGTAAACCAACATGTAGGCGTTACGAGAACAGTGGAAGCCTTTTGCACATTTGGGTTTACGAGCGATGGCTTTAGAAGGTTCTGGTAACGAAAGAAAACACATAGAAGACGCCATCAGTAGATTATGGGGATCCGGGACACAAAGTCTATGACACGACTGTCCTCCATGGTCTCCAGGCACGGGAAGAGCCAGGCGCCCCCATGTGTCACATACCGGAGCACCCCCGGACCAGAGACCAGCTGTAACATGCAGTTCTCCATCATAGGGGGTATCCCTGGGGGTCCCTGGAGTAGTCCGCGCACCATGTATAGGAGGAGATTACAACTTTGTGGCAGCAGGTCCAGTTAAACTTTAAAAGGAGAACTATGAGCGGGGGAGGGGGGTGATTTCCACTCACCTCATCGTTCTAGCCGACCTGTGACAATGAGACTGTCACAGGTCGGCTCAGTAGATCGGGAGGTGAGCGAACACATACCGGCGTTCGCTCACCTCTCGATCCCGTCACAGGGGAGTGGCTGGATTCTCCCCTCCCCGATCCTCCAGCGCTGACTGGCGGAACGGGCGGGTACATCCTCTAGATAGGCCGAGCCAGCTGTCACTCACGCAGCTGGGCGGATCCCGTCATCTACGTCGGAATCAGCTGCGGCGTCTCAGTATACCGCGAGCTGTAGCTCGTTATATACTGAGCCTAGGGTGGGGGGGGGACGCTAGTTTGTGTCCTCCCGTTACCCTAAGGAGAACTATGGGGGAAAGCCCCGACCCCGTAGTTCTCCTTTAATAACCCCCCCCACACGGGGCTTCCCACCTCTCCCTTTAGGGTTAGAAATATTAATTCATACAAACCAGAGACAATCCAGATTCTTAGTCGCAATTTTAAGCCCTAATGAAAGGGGACGTGCAAGAACCCCAACATCTCATTGGCTTGTCCATTGGGGCTTTGGGGCTTTCTATGGCAAAATAAAATCTTTAAGTCCTCATTGGTCTGACGTTCTGCACCCCTGAAGAGCCCGCCTTGCGTCCCTGGGGTGCCAACCTGAGCCCTTGTATACACCAATACAGGGAATATCTTGTCCAAGGTGACTACAGTGGGATCCGGCACCTTCTACCTTCATATGTCATAAGATCACCGCCACCAAACCCCACAGGCCATCATCAGTCACAGCTCATTAGCTCATCAATTTCAAAACCTGTCCGGCCCCTATGTGGTCACGGCCCACCCACCTCTGACATTTCAGAAAGGCCTACCTGAGGTATACGGGTGCCAGCCCTCCTTCCAGTATCAGTGTATGTGACATGAAGAAACTCACCCGCCTACCACCTTCC